AAAGGTGCATTAAGTGTTGCTCAGTAGAAAGTAAAGGTCCCTCTTTCCTGCCACCTCCTTCCTTCCTCCAGAGTGGCCAGTTTCTATTATTTCTTGTAATTAGTTCTGGTTTTAAAGTAGAAAATGAAGAAATATCCAGATTGTTCAAATCCTTGACACAGTTCAGGTTATCCAGACTTGACTATGCATTCTTTCCTTAGGTAGCAGAGTAATCACACTTTTTCCCCTTGCTTTTTTCCTCCTGGGAACCAGTTACCTTGAAGGTTCCATACAACACTAGTAAGTAGAGAGCTGCAGGGTTAGTTTCATTGACGTCATTGTATTCCACAGAATGACTAGCTCAGTTTATTGAACTTGTCTTACAGGATGGAGCTTTGTTTGCCACTTTTCTGCTGTTATAAACAATGCTGCCTTATACTTGGGGCATGGGGGGGGGGGAGGGGGTTAAGCCTCTCCTGGCACTCTGCTTAGGGGTCGCTCCTAGTGGTCTTTGAGAGAACTATATGCAGTTCCAGAATTGAGCTAGGGTCAGCAAGTCAAGCCCCTGATCTTCCTGTACTCTCTTTCTCTCTGGCCCTGAATGTCTTTATTTCACATATCTGCATGTGAAACAGGAAGAATTCCTTTTAAGAATCACAGTATAATTAAACTGGGATGTTTGGTGTTTTTGGTTTTTGTTTGTTTGTATGATTAAAAAAGAATCTGTTGTGGGGTCCGAGAGATTGTATAGTGGTTAGGGCACTAGTTTTGCTTGTGGCCAACCTGGGTTTAATTCCCAGCATCCCAAGCACCACTGAGGTGATTCCTGAGTGCAAAGCCAAGAGTGACCTCTGAGCATTGCCAGGTGTGACCCCCAAAAAACCTCCCCAAAACCCTGTTCTGCTGGGGCCACATGGCTAGCATGAGGGTTGTGGTTTTTGTCTTAGTGTTTTTCTTTTTTCCCTTTATTTAAGCACTGTGCTTTACAGAGTTGTTCATGATACATTTGTTACAGACATTCAATATTCTAGCACCAATCCCACCACCAATGTGACCTTCCCTTCATCATTATTCCTATTTTCCCAACCACCACCAAGCCTGCCCCCTTAGCAGGTACCAAATTATTTATTTTATATTGCTAGTTACAACTAAATGGCTAGTGGAATTATCAAAAAATACTTCAGTAAAAGAGAACTTTTGAAAATTGTTATATCTCACCATGGGGTCATTATGTCCTTTTCTGAGGATTTAACAGGGGGTTCCTTGCTAGTTGAGCCTTCTGTGTTATTCTTGTTTATTGGGCTTAGTTGGCTTCTATGTTACTTTCCCATCTAACTTGCTGTGCTCCTACTGGGATGTCAGTATTACACGTGGAATTTGGAGGTGTCACATTTGGCCTTGTACTTGAGGAACTCTAGAATATGTAACTGGGCTGTGAATGTACTGGCAGCAGTTGTGGGGTGTGGCTGCCCCCTCCCCTCTGGAAGTTCATGGGTGGGGTGGGGGAAGACCCTCCTGAGGGCTCCCTGGAGGGAGTTCTCAGCTGGGAGACTAGAATATCTGGGAATTTTTGCAGCTTGCTTGAGCCCTTCCAAGATTTAATTCTGAGTCTGCAAAGCTGGGCCAGTGGATAAGCTTTTATGAGGGTGGTTGTCTTACAGTATTCTTAGTTGCTAGGACTGAGGTTCTGATCGACTGATTGATCACAGTGATGGCCCTTTTAAATCTGTTCCTCCTATTAAAAATTATGCTCTAGGACCAGGGATGTGACTGTAGTAGTAATTTCTGACTCCACATCCCACCCCCTATTCCCCTTCCCAACACTGCCAGGTATGGTTCTGGGGGCCCCCGAAGAAGTACTCCAGGATCCCTGACCACTGCTATATGAGCCTACTGACAACAGGTAGCCTAGGGCAGTGCTTTTTCTATTATGACTCCCTTTCAGCCTTATTTCCTTCCTTTGTTGCCCCTGCTCTGTGCTGTGGCCCCCTATTTATGTGATTTTTTTTTACCTTTGACCTCCTTGGAATGTTCTGGGAGGCTCTATGGTCCCCAGTTGAGAAATGCTGCTTTGAGTCCAGGTAGAGACCTCATCGGACTAGAGAATATGCTTTGTTTGCTGGAGGCCTGAGTCCCATCCCTGGCACAGCCTGGATTCCTAAACATCTCTGAGTACCAGGGAATGCTGCCCAAAACAAAATAAACAGAATTAGTGCTCTAAACTATTTGGAATGTTTTGAGTAGGAGTCATAAGCTAGATATACAGACGGTTTTAGGTAACTAATTTGGATCTCGCCTGGTTTATTTGAAGAATTTATTCTATCAGTTTCTTTTTTAAGCAATATGATGATATTGTGGATGATATCACAGTTCATCCACAAAATCACAAAAAGGATGATGTGTGTGTGAATAGTGCTGAGATCAAACTCAATATGTGCTCTACCACTGAACCACATTCCCAGCCCCCAGCAGAATTATTTTTATTTCAGTTCCTTAAAAATATACCATATTTCCTTGTCCCAGCATGCAGAATAGAACAAAACATAACTGAATCTTTTATGAATGAATTAGAGCTGCCATAATGTGTTCTACCCAAGGGGGTGGAATACTAAGAGGAACATAAAGAGATCTTAGGAAGTTCTCTTTCTTAAATTACTCTTTTACATCATCTTCCTTTTTCTTCAGAAGTCGTTTGCATCTTTTAAAAGTAGAAGGAAGATGGGGCCTGGGAAATAGTATAGTGTGTAGGGTGCTTGCCTTGCTTGCACACGGCTGGCCGGGGTTCTATCCCTGGCATCCCATATGGTCCCCCGAACATTGCCAGAAGTAATTCCTGAGTGAAGTAAGCTCTGGCACTATGGTGTCAAGCAGACAAACAAAAAAAAGTAGAAGGAAGGGAGCCAGGATTGTAGTTCAGTGGTATAGTACGTGCTTTGCATGTATGAGATCCTGAGTTTAATCTCCCCCCCCCCCAAAAAAAAAAGAAGGTAGAGGAAATAATCGTCTGGGAAGAGAAATATGGTCACTTTCCTGTAAACTTAATCAAAGGTTAACACATGCTTTATATTCAGTTGGTGTTAATTTTTATCTGAGTAAGAGTAAATTATATCAAGGTTCTGTGGACTTTGTGGGGGTCATGTAGCACTGTCCTCCCATTGTTCATCGATTTGCTCAAGCCGGGCCCAGTAACGTCTCCATCGTGAGACTTGTTACTGTGTTTGGCATATTGAATACGTCACGGGGGCTTGCCAGGCTTTGCCGTGCAGGTGAGATATTCTTGGTAGCTTGCTGGACTCTCTGAGAGGGGCGGAGGAATTGAACTCGTTTCATGTAAAATTAAAAAAATTACTTGACGGTGGAGAGATAGGAGAGATAGTATAGGAGGTAATGGCATATAATACAGCTGACGATGACTCAGTCACCCACACTGTATATGGTTTCACTAGCACTACCAGGGTCACTCCTTTATTCAGAAGCAGAAATAGCTCTTGAGTGCCACTGGGTGTAACCCAAATCCCTCCTCCCCAACTCCACAAAAAACAAAATAAAACAACATATACATATATATGGGGGGGGGATGTAGGGGTTAAGGGGGAGATGGAGGAGATAACTCCAAAGAACAGGGCCTTACATGTTTGAGACCCTGAGTTTGATCCACAGTACTTATATATGCAATCCTGCAAACCCCCCACTTCCACCACATAATCTACCAAGTACCTCAGATCCCCCTGGTGGCTCCCATCTCCCATATTTCTTGGGCCCAAGCAACAGAAAGTCAAACTTACAGACTTGGACTGAGTATTACTAGGACTGGCACCCAAGTCTGAGCACTGCTGAGAAGATCCCCATTATTAAAAAATTACTTGTGCATTGGTAGTGTGATGTGCCACACTTGTCTCTTGATCAGGGGTTTTCATTTGTAAGCATAAGCTCCATGGTTTGTTTTTTTCCTATGTGTTTGTTGTTTTTGTTATTGTATTTTTAGCAGAGCTACTTTAATTAAGAAAAGAAAATTGCCCACCTCCTGTTGATGAGGACCTAGGTTTTGCTTTTATCATTTGTTTGTTTGGGTTTTATTTTTTATGTGGGGGTAGGAGCAGCACTACTAGACAGTGCTCAGGGGTTACTCTGTCCCTGCATTCAGAAATCATTTCTCATGGGTTTCAGGGGACCATATGTGATGCCGGGGTTCGACCCCAGTCAGTCCTGTGCAGGACTTATTTGCTGTAATATCACTCCATCTCCAACCTTGGTTTTGCTTTGGGGTATCTTTTGATTGCTTTTCAGTTTTCATTCCTTTCTGCCAGATACCTTCATGCTTTCTGTTTTCCCTTTTCCATGCCCCCAACTTTTACTTGCAGTCTAACTCCTAATGTTGAGGACATTTATCTTTAGTTGGCATATTGTCCCCTTACAGTATATTTTAAATTCTTCATTTTTTGGGCTATTGTTTGGCCTTGCAGCTTCTTTTTTGATTGCCAACTCTCCTTTCCCACCTCCTGTTGGTTTAACTAGGCAAGGCAAGGATATTGGGTGTTGGATTTTACTGTTTATGACAGCTTTAATCTTTAAAAAGGTTTTCTTTGAGGCAACTAAAATTGTAATGTCAAAATGGTGTACGTAGGATCTGGAGAGATAATACAGTAGGTAAAGTGCTTGCCTGAATGCCACTGACCTGGGTTTGCTCCCGGAGATTCCACGGGGTCTCCTGCACCACGCCAGGAATGATCCCTGAGTGCAGAGCCAAGAGTCAGCTTGAGCATTGCCAGGTGTTGCCCACCTTCCAAAAGCAGGTGTACCTAGGAGATACCTACAAGTTACAAAGCACCTTTCATTTTATAAATATTGTCCAGAGTTTACCCAGATTTTTTTCTGCTTGAAGAAACAGATTGGGTCAGGTTTCACTATAAATAAATTGGCAGGCAGATGTCTCTCTGCTGTTGCTCTATGTACACCTGCCGACCCATGATTTATATTTTAATCAGGAGAAAATAAACTTTTTTTCTTTGGTTTGTGTGCAGGTTCTAGTAAACACTGCTTGCTGTGTTTTGATGTTGGTGGCTAAACTAATCCAGTATATTGTGTTTGGCCCTCTTCGAGTGAGCGAGAGACAGGTAAGTCCAGAAGGTAATAGGGATTCTTGGGATCAGTTTTTTGGTTCTTGTTCTTAAACTTTGTATTTGGTGTAATTTCAAATGTACATAAATACCTGGAAGAACTCCCATAAACCCTGCACACAGATTCACACTGGTTAGTATTTGTCCCTTTTGCTTTTTTAACACATGCTTTTTATTGATCTGCAGGCATTTCTCAGCCCACTTGTGAACATCATGTTTCTTTACCCTCAACTACTTAAATTATTTCCTAAGTGCAAGGATATTTGCTTTCTTTTTTTGTTTGTTTTTGTTTCTGGGCTATACCTGGCAGTGCTCAAGGATATCTTCTGAGCAGGCAGGACTCTGAGGACCATTTGTGGTGCCAGGTTTGCCCTATGTGTGTACTATTGCTCCGACCCCTATCTTACTGTTTCAGAAATACAGTGATCACTTCTTGACGACTTTTTTTAATTGAACCACAGCAGATTACAAAGTTGCAGGGTTATTCATGATTGAGTTCCAGGCATACAGTATTCAGCAGCAATCCCTTCACCAGCCTGCACTTCCCTCCACCAATGTCCCTTCTGCCTCTACCAGCTTTCCTCTGTGAAGGCCCTTTTTCCTTCTCCACAGCTCCCCTCTTCCTTTTAAGCGCTGTTTATGTGCCCTTTCCGAACCTGTGTCGTCTAGTGTCCAATTAGCTGAGGTTCTGTTTTGAGCAGAAATGTGGTTCCTTTGTGATAGATAGGCAGGATGCTGTTATAAGTCAGTCTGCTTATTTTCCCAGACATTTCTCATTATTGATTATTCAGCTATTTCTCCAAAATAATAAGTTCAGAAATCTTTCAGATGAGATCAGTAGAATGTGGTAGTGGTTTTGTTTTACTTTTGGCTGGATATAAAAACTAAATTTTTGGTACTGGGGATCAAAACCAGGTGCTATGCCAAAAGCTTTCATTTAAATATTTTTCTTCAAGAACAACTTTATTGTGGACTAGAAATAGGTCAAAGCAGGCTGACTAATTGCTTGTAGGCTGATGGTGCCAGTGGGGCTTAGATACCATTTTCTTTTTTCTAAATCATTAAACATCAGGTTAAATTTCGTAAAACATGCAACCTTGGAGTATTACAGAAATTTGTATAATGTTTAGAGGTACTCATACAGGGGACTCTTGCTATCTTTGCTCTCCATATCTTTCAGGCTGTTCTGTGTTGACTGTTTTTTGATAATGATCTTTAAGAGCATTTATTAAACCTTCTTTTGAGTTAGAACTCTGCAAAATTAAAGTGCTTATGAATTCTTAAAGTTCAGGAAATAGTGACTGGAGAGATAGTACAGGGATCACTTGCGTGTTCCCGCTGACCCTGATTTGAATCTACATATGGTTACCACCTAGGGTGACTGCTGAGCACAGAGCTAAGAATAACCCTTGAGCGTTGCTCGGTGTGGCCTCCAAACCAAAATAAAATAAAGCTCAGGAAATATTGAGCCAGAGCAATAGGACAATGAGTTGGGTGTTTACTTTGCACGTGGCTGACTCGGGTTCCCTTCCTGGCACCTATATGGTCCCCCACAAATGATTCCTTTAGTGCAGAGCTAGGAGCAAGCCCTGAATGCCGTCAAGTATGGCCCAGACACTGCCAGACAACACCCCCCCCAGCAATCCCCCCCCAAAAAAAAAGAAAAGAAAGAAATAGAGTAATGCTAGAAGCAAAGGCATTGGATATCTACAATGGGATGGATATAAAACTGTTAAGAGGAAGAAAGAAATTTTTTATAGGCCCCCCACACAGCAGTGCTCAGAAATGATTTTTTAATGTATTAATATTTACAGTAGCCTTAAACACGTAGATATTCATTTCTCGAATTTCCCCAACAAGTCATTATTATAAGGTCCATTTTATTGGACCTTATAAAGCCCAGAGATTTAGTGGGTGTTTAGTGACTCACCCCAGATTATACAGCAAGTGAACAAGTGGATGATGAAGTGGGGGTTGTAAAGAGTTAAAATGTCCTTGACTTGGGGCTGGAGCCATAGCACAGCGGGTAGGGTGTTTGCCTTGCATGCAGCCAACATGGCCGATCCGGGTTCCATCCCCAGCACCCCATATGGTCCCCTGAGCACCGCCAGGAGCAATTCCTGAGTGCATAAGCAAGGAGTAACCCCTAATGTCCTTAACTTGCTTATACTTTACTTGCCCCAGATCTGACTTCTCAGAACTACTGGAAGTAGTTATATTTGTTAAACATTTAGGTTCAGTTATTTATTTTCATGTTTCTGTGTATAACTTTTTTAATTTGTGAAACATTTGTATGGTTCAGAACTAGAAATAAATACATTGAAGTCCTGTTCTTACCCTCTTTTATTGAAGTTCTCAGCAGTCCCAAGGGTTGAGTAGTATATCTGTTGCTAGTTGCTCCTCATGTCCCCCTTTTTTTAATGATGTCTGCATGTAGAAGGCAATGAATGTTCAGTGAAGTGGATATACTTATACAATGTTCATGAAAATGGTTAGTAACAAAATGGTTTTGGAAATGGTGGCTATCACTTACTTGAAAACATTTGTAACCTTTGATTCCATACTGCCAAAGATAGAGAAAGTATACAAAGATAAATCATTGAATTTTTTCTGAAGGGTGAAAAATCAAAAGCTGTGTAGTGTTGATTTGTAAGTGCTAAAATGGAATATTTGAAGACTTCACTGATACTGATAAGGTTTTCACAATATCATAGATAAAGTATCAAGTATCTAAAAATCAATGTTTTATAACAGGAGAAAGATGGAAACCAGGGAACTCCCATTAAAATCTAAGACATCATTTATGTGGTGTTTTTTTTTTTTTTTGGATACTCTTTCATGCTTTATGTGCTGACAAATGAATATATAAATATGTATGTTTTTGTCTGAAGGATACTTTAAAAAAGTGATTTTTTTTCTATTTGTTTCAAGAATTCAGTAAGCAAAAATATTAATAGTGATACTTGTATATTTCATCACTCATTTTCATTTTGTCCTGAAAGTACATGTGTTACTTCTTTTAATATATAAAGTACTGGAATAATGGCACTTCATTTTAGTAGCTGAAATTCCACAATGAGGATTACACCCACAATCTGCAAATGACTTTCTAGGCATCTTGCCTCTTTTCCAGAGGGGTTATTTTAGGGTTAGAGAACTGAGTAGAGTATTTTCTTCCTAGAAGCCAGTTTTTGCTTACTTTCTTCAAATCTGTTAGTTTTGATGGTACTCACCTTATAAAATTTCTTTTTCAGCACCTCAAAGACAAATTTTGGAATTTTATTTTCTACAAGTTCATTTTCATTTTTGGTGTGCTGAATGTCCAGACAGTGGAAGAGGTGGTCATGTGGTGCCTGTGGTTTGCTGGACTTGTATTCCTACATCTGATGGTTCAGCTCTGCAAGGATCGATTTGAATATGTGAGTAGTTAGCCAAATGATTTGCTTGTTTAGATACACCTTTGCCAGGTGTGAATTAAAAATGAGTATGAAGGAATCACAGGAGGCATGTCCAGGGAGCTCTTTCCCAGGTGGCTCCTCATGGATCATGTACCCATTGCCTGTTTCTGAGTTTTCTGCAGTAGCAAGACAGTTACCTCCTAGAAACATTTCCTCCCCTTTCCCAATACCCCATGGAGCTTTGTGTTATAGCTACATGGGGTCAATTCACCTACCAAGACTTTTGATTACCATACAAGGGGAATGATTCAATAGATAAGTGGAGTAAAATCTCCTCTCCATGATTTTTGTTCTTCTTCCTTTTTCCCTCTCTGGCTCACATTCTTAATGCTCTTCCTGACTAGTTGATACTGTCTCCACCCTTGGGCAAGCTCTGATCAATTCTCCTGGCTCCCATGGTCCCAGGAGAAGTGAACCCTTTTTTGTTGAGTATCAGATCTGCCTCCTGGTTTCAGATCAGAGCTGTGCAGGTGAATCCTGACTCATTAGTGCTCTTGAACTAGCATGTGGATCCCTGGTGAATGTATGCTGCTACTTCTCTGTTAAATCCCCAGAGCCTTGCTGGCCCCTTTCTTCTCACAGATTTGAAGTTCAGCTGACCTTTACATCTGTGTGTATGTGAATATCAGCCTCACACTTATAAGCAAGCTGTAACACAGTCACCCTATTTCAGATCAGAAACTGGAGCTTCTACCTTTCCCCAACTGGTTTGTTATCTATACCTTCCTACTCTGGAATCACAGCTTCAGGGCTGCTTTTCCAAGTTACTGCCTATTCTTATGTCCTATTAGCATAGCTTTATAATTGTAATGACTGCACTTAGGTTACATTTCAGTCCTTCCAGCCCCATACTGGCAGGGATATCCTCCAGGTGAAGGGAGGAAAGTTAAAAGAGCAGGACAGAATAGAACGCTGCACTGTTCTGAGTTCTGCAGAATAGGATATCAGCTACATAGAAAATTGCTTCTAGGTTTAGAATCCAGTGGGAAGAGGATCCTTGAGAATTCGAGATGAAAATAAAACATACATTATATTTGATAAATATACTCATGTTTAGGTCAGTGGGAGAATCGTGATGCCTAGGAATGGGATGTTCTTCTGTGCTTTTCTCAGTGAGGCATGACACTGTCCTTCTCCTGTCTGTATTTCAGCTTTCCTTTTCTCCCACCACACCGATGAGCAGCCATGGCCGGGTTCTGTCGCTCTTGGTGGCCATGCTGCTCTCTTGCTGTGGGCTAGCGGTTGTGTGCTGTGTCACAGGCTACAACCATGGAATGCACACATTGGCTTTCATGGCAGCAGAGGTAAGATGTGGACACGAGGTTTTCTTCTATTCCTGTATATTATCAAGAAAACTAGGAAATTGACAGAGTATTTCACCCACAAAGTGACTGATGGATTTTGTTTTCTCATTTTAGCAAGCAACTTTTTGCATTTTTTTTTTTTTGTGCAGTACTGGTACCAGATGTTTTTATGTTTTATTACACATAATCTTTGAACAAGTTGGCTTAAAAAGATAATTTTAATGCAATTATTTTTAGCCAGCATTTAAATAGTGCTTGCTGTAGGCTAAGGATTATTCCAAATACTTTAGATGTGTTATTTTTCTTATTGTGTGGGGAGACAGACATCAAGGATAAAGTGACTTGCTTAAGGTTCCAGGGTGGCAGGTGGCATGATCCAGGCCTCCCCAAGTAAGAGGGAACTTTGAGTCCATTTAAGATAGTCGAGGGCTTGGGATGTGGCTCAGGAGAGCACACGCGTGAGATCCTGAGTTAGATCCCAAGAAACAAATAGCACATGAAAGAGGTAAACGATGATTGTTTGTGATAATAGGAAATACTTTAATGTTCTTTTTAATAGATAGGGCATTAACTGAGTAACAAATAGGTGAATGATACATTGACAGACTAATCTGAGATAGTTGTTTTTTATCTATCTATTTATTTATTTATTTATTTATTTTGGTGGGGGCTATATCCAGCAATGCTCAGGGCTTACCCTGTCTCAGCATCCAGGGATTATTCCTGGTGATTTTTTAAAAATTTTTTATGTAGGAGTACTGCTATTTATTCAGCTACTGATTAGCTGATTGAATTGTGCATGAACTCCACCTTTTTTTTTTTTTTATTTTTTATAATTTTATTTATTGAATCACCATGAGAGCAGTTACAAAGCTTTCGGGTCTAAGTTCTGGTGATGTTTTTAAATTTTAATTTTGTTTTTGTTGTTTTGGCTTTTTGGATCTCACCTGGTGATACTCAGGAGTTCCTCCTGGCTCTGCACTCAGGGATCACTCTTGGCAGTGCTCAGGGAACTATATGGGGTGCTGGGGATCAAAGCCGGGTCAGCCATGTGTAAGGACAGTACCCTCTCCACTGTGCTATCACTCAGGCCCCTAATTTATTGTTTTTAATTATCTTAATTTATTACCTTAAAAATGTAAGAAATTATCTCTTATGATTTAAATTTTTTTATCCAAATTTTAGTAAAAAAGAAAATATCTATTTTACAGTCTCTTCTTGTGACAGTGAGGACTGCTCATGTGATTCTACGGTGAGTAGAACTTTGGAAGGAAAGTGATTGGGGTCTGTGCTTATATGTGGTCTTAAGATAGAACATGTGTAATATTTGGTTTTAAGATAGAACATGTGTAGCTATACTGCATCATGCTTACGAAACAGATTCAGTTGTGAACTCCTAGATGATTTTTCTCTAATCACCACAGATACGTAATTCATCTCTGGGACCTGAACCATGAAGGAACCTGGGAAGGGAAGGGAACGTATGTCTATTACACAGATTTTGTCATGGAGCTCACACTCTTGTCCTTGGACCTCATGCACCATATTCATATGTTGGTAAGTTTCTTTAGAAAGCATCTCAGCACAGAGCTAAGATTTCAGAATCAAAACTTGGGGGTAGTACAGTAACAAGTTCAGCATTTGTAGATGAACCCTTGAAGTATATAAAAGCTGGTCTTTCCACATCCCACTATTCCCTATTTGCTTCTGGGTGTAAAGCAGTATTACAGAATCACTTTGGGCTTTTTTTTTTTTTTAATGTGTGTGTGTATGTTTTAAATTATTTTTTTTATTAAGACACCATGATTTACAAGGCTTTTTCATGGTAGAGTTTCAGATGTACAATGTTCTGACACCAATTCCATCACTAGTGTGAACTTTCCACCACCATTGTCCCCAGGTTCCTTTTGGTTTCCTAGCCATTCCTGCAAAGCGTGTTTTTTTTTTTTTAAATTAGTGAAACACCATGAGGTACAGTTGTACACTTATAAACTTTTGTGCTTGAGTTTCAGTTATACAATGATCGAGTACCCATCCCTCCACCAGTGCCCATTCTTCATCACCAATGATCCCAGTAGCCTTCCCACCCCCCCACCCCACCCCGCCTCTGACAGGGCATTCCCTTTTGCTCACTCTTTCCTTCAGGGTGTTGTAGTTTGCAATAGAGGTGTTGAATGGCCATCGTGTTCGGTCTATAGTCTACTTCCAGCACACATCCCTCATCCGAGTGAGTTCTCCAAACATCCTTTACTTGGTGTTCCCTTCTCTATCTGAGCTGCCTTTTCCCCCAGCATGTGCTGCCAGCTTCCAAGCCATGGAGCAGACCTCCTGGTACTTATCTCAGCTCTTCTTGGGTGTTCGACTCCCATTCTGTTACTTTATATTCCCCAGATGAGTGCAGCCTTTCTATGTCTGTCCCTCTCTTTCTGGCTCATTTTACTTAGCATGATACTTTCCATGTAGAACCACTTGTATGTAAATTTCATGACTTCATCTTTTCTAACAGCTGCATAGTATTCCATGTTGCAGAACCACTTTGGCTGGTGCCTGGGACATCTTATCTTGCTTGATCTAGTCAGTAGATAATTCTTTTTATTGTGAAATTAAGGGTATGCCTCTCCCATTGTTTTCATTGTTCCTAATATTTAGCACTTACTTTGTAGATGACATCAGGAATTCTTATAGTGTTTGCTGCTTCATGGATTCATAATTCTTCATATTGTAATCAAAAGGTTTTTATATTTAGGGGCAGGATAGTACAGGGGATAAGAGGCTTGCCTCACTTGCAGTGGGCCATGGTTGGATCACTGGCACTGTATATAGTCCCCTAAGCATTGCGAGGAGTGGTCCCTGAACATGGAACCAGAAGTAAGCTCCTGAACATTGCCAGGAGTGGCCCAAAATGACCTGCCCCTGCAAATCCCAAAAGTCTTTATACTTAATTCTTCTCATCTTTATTTTTTGGTTACTTTTTACTTTGATGTGCAAGAAATGAAATGATGAAAGCCTACTTTTTTAGTTAGCCCCTCAGAGAACTAATAATGTAACAAATCAACATATTTTATAGATAAGTTATTTATAAATTATAAGCCTGTGAAATTGGCATTTAAAAATTATTGGGAGATTGGGGATGAGACTCAAGTAGTAAAGCACAATGTTCACACGTTGTTCTGTGGTACCATGTGGTCCCTGAGCTTCTGCGGTGTGGCCCTGCCCTTCCAACACTGCAGATGTGGCCCCAAAGTACAATGATCACAAAAAGCACTGCCTTTTGAAAGGATCTTTGAAAACTAAAAAAACCATGTGCAACGTTGTTTATAAAAGAAGAAAAAGGTCCCATTAGATGAATGTCCAGAGGTAATAGTGTTTTGTAGTATTTATTGCTTCTTTATATTTGAAATCCTGTTTTTAGAATTTACACTTAAGATCCTATTTGTACATACAATTTAGTTTTTTTTCGGGTTTTTTTTTGGGGGGTCACACCCAGCAACACAGGGGTTACTCCTGGCTCCTGCACTCAGGAATTACTCCTAGCGGTGCTCGGGGGACCATATGGGATGCAGGGAATCGAACCCGGGTCAGCCACGTGCAAGGCAAATACCCTACCCGCTGTGCTATCACTCCAGCCCCATAGTCTAGATTTTTCTTAATGTTTTAAAAATACATTGTTCTGCTCTAATAATTCCTCTAAGGCACTAATGTTTTCAAATTTAGTCTAGTGCCTGCCTTGCCTGTATGAGACAAGAGTTTGATTCCCTCATGACAGGCATGGGCACTACTGTTTGGGATCCCCGAAGCCACAACTAAGTGTGCACACCCACAGCCAGAATTTACAAGGCCCCCATTCAGTTGAATGACAAAGGGAGGAGAAAGGGGGGAATGGATCACGTTTAATTCACCAACCCTTAAATGAGATGTTTATATTGTTTATAGTGTTTGTTATTTCACATCTTTTTAGTTTCTTTGTGTTTTTGGACCACACTCTGCTGTACTCATGGCTTATTCCTGGCTCTTTGCTTAGAGATCATTCCTGGGGTGCTCGAGGGTCCATATGCAGTGCTGGAGAGTAAACCAGGGTGTGTTAGCAGCACACAAGACAAGTGCCTTGATCTCTGTACTCTCTATCTCATACTCTTTTGTTTCTTTTTTCAGAGGGATGGGTAGGATGGGGTTGGACCACACCCAGTTGTGCTCAGGGGTTACAAGCTTCCTCCTGGTGGAGATTGGGGGATCATATGGGGTGCTGGGAATTGAATCCAGGTCTTTGCATGGAGGGCAAGCACCTACTGATTGTACTCTCTCCAGCCCCACTTTTAGTTTCTTAAGGTAATCCTACCCAGTTTGTGTGTTTTTTTTAAATTACCCACATAGTTAGTCTTCCAAAAAGTTATGTATAAAATACAATGTTAATGTGTCATTTTATAATAAATTACTTAATGGCTATATAATGTCAGCTTGAGTTTGCTGCCTGACTGTTCCCCTACTGAGCATTTTATTTTATTGTATTTATTTATTTATTTTTGCTTTTTGGGTCACACCTGGCGATGCACAGGGGTTACTCCTGGCTCTGCACTCAGGAATTACTCCTGGCAGTGCTCAGGGGACCATATGGAATACTGGGAATTGAACCCGCGTCTGCTGTGTGCAAGGAAAATGCCCTACCCACTGTGCTCTCTATTGCTCCAGCCCCCTACTGAGTATTTTATACATTTCCTGATTTTCCCTTTTTATAAATGTGAGGTTGACTGTCTATGTGCATACAGTTTTTAGTTTCTGATTAGTTCCTCAGGGAAGACTGTCAGTGACAAATTAATGAGCCCAAAGAATCTTGTCCACTATTCATTCAATGCAGAGATGCCATTTGCTTCCTGAGTGAGCTTTCACATTGACTTTCACCAACATGAGCTCATGTTGTATGCCCGTCTTTTTACCCCTTGTGAGATTATATTAATTTTTATTGTTTCTCTCTTGTTAAGTTATTTGGCAACATCTGGTTATCTATGGCAAGTTTGGTCATCTTTATGCAGTTGCGTTACCTGTTCCATGAGGTACAGCGCCGGATCCGTCGGCACAAGAACTATTTGCGTGTGGTTGGGAACATGGAAGCCAGGTGAGTAAGCACAAGTAGACATGACCTAAGTTTACTCATTTTGGGTCTTTAATTATAAGATTTCCCAGAGTATTGAGACCTACTTTTGTAGGAAAAGAACAACGAGGAAAAGAGGTGTGGGGCGCGGGGGGGGGGGGATTACTGGTTTATAAACCCCCACTAAATTGCTTTTTCTGTTTTTGGTTCTTGGGCCCCACCTAGAGGATGCTCAGGACTTACTCCTGGCTCTGCACTCAGGAATTATTCCTGATGGTACTTGGGGGACCATATGGGACACCGGGGATCCAACCCAGTTCGGCCGCATGCAAAGCAAAACCTGCTATACTATCACTCTGGTCCCAGCAGGTATACTATTTCTAATGATGAAACTTGCTGCAAAGCAAGACTCCTCTGTCATTATGCTATTGAGCAAGAGAAGTCTATAAAGTGCCCTTCAGTGTGTGTATGTGTAGAGTGACAGTCCCTTTGGGCCTGGTTTGTTCTTGCAGGTTTGCAGTTGCTACTCCGGAGGAGCTTGCAGTCAATAACGACGACTGCGCCATCTGCTGGGACTCGATGCAGGCTGCCAGAAAACTTCCCTGTGGACATCTCTTCCACAAGTAGGAGGCTCAGGAGGGTGTTGTGTGTGGGCCTGCGGGTCCATTGTGTGTCTAGCTTCAGGAATAAACCAGTGGAGAAGGGGGGACTTGGCCCTTGTCTGACCCTGATGTTGCCTCTGAGTCGGAAGACATGTGATATGCCCCTGGCCCCTGTGGCTCTGGTTTGTACTCTGCCTTCCCCATGCTTAGCTTACCATCTGAATCTTGGCTGTGTAGCTATCTTCACATTATTCTCCATTAAAGCTTCGAAGACAGCAAGCATGCTTGTAAGATGTTTTTAAGAAAAAATTCTTATACAGTTCATTCTCTAATTGAGGTTGAGGAAATATGTTTCTTTCCATTTTGCACATGTTCCAAAGCAATATAAAAACACACTCCAGAGTAGTGAGTTGTGATAGGGACCAGGAATGCTAGATGATCCAGAAGAAATCCTGTGTAATCACGGATTCCCCAGCAGCTGCCTTGGAGACCTCCGAGTTTGGACTGCCTCTCCATGGAGCACGCTTTCTCCTCTCCCTGGGAGTCTGTCCGCTCTCATTACTGTGGTCTCACTGCCTCAGCAGTCCCAGAGCCCCTATCTGTCCAACCTATGTTTGGGCATCCGTTGGATATTATGGTATTGATGGGCCTTCAGTCATTGCCCCTATGGTCCTGGAAGTTCTGATGTGTTCCTTTTTTGTGTGTTCCCAAATTTTCTTTTGAATGTTAAAACAGCTGAACTGGAGTATTAGTGATGTTACAGATTTATTGACTGAAGTCTTGTATGCTGTGTTGGACTCTGGGGATAAAATTTAAATGACAGCTATTAGTTTTGCTTTCATGAACTTAGTCTGTGGAGGGGATGGACAGAAATGGAGCAGACAGTGGGAATATGGTGCTGCCAGCAGGTCAGTCTGTAACTGTGAGATGAGTGCATCACCGTCAGATGATGTGATGGCACTGTCAGACTTTCAGATACCCCAAAATTACTGGCCAGACCCCAAAAACTTGGGGAAAAGTTTACCAAGAAAGTAAACGACCAAAAGTTAGGTATGTGGGAGACATACCCACAAACCACCTCTGGCTCAGCTATATAATTGGAGGCATGGCCTCTCTGGTTCCTGATTGAACTGCTTAACGGCCATGATCCCAGAGACTCAGAAACGAATCTTGGAACCCAGAGACTTTTGACAGAAATGTGTCCTGTTCTTGCAGTAGGTTACTTGCACTGGGCCACTCCAGGTGGGAATAGGTTTCGTGCCTTGGCCTGTTCCCCCGGCGGCCCAGTGACCACCATTCTCCAGAGGCCACAGGACAGTCAGGTTTGGGCCTGCAGTGACGAGACACGTGGGGCCTCACAGATGGGGGTGGAACCGGCCCTTTCCTCCTCATCCCAACAAGACCCCAAGTCGCCGCCTACAAATGGCCTCTCTGGCTCCTGATCAAGCTGCTTAATGGCTATGATCCCAGAGACTCAGAAACAAATCTCGAAACCCAGAGGCTTTTGGCAGAAATGCATCTGGACCGCATACAAGGTGGCCGCTACCTCAGAGCTTATTGGAAAGCCAGGTATGAGCCGGTGGTGACAGGGCAACTGCAGTCTCATGGGAAGGAGGGTGGTACTGGCTCGTCCTTCACGCCCTACTGAGGTCACGAGTTGCCCCCTACGAGCAGCTCTCTGGCACGGCCATGGCTCCAGAGGCAAAAGGACTTAATCCAGAGCCCAGCAGCTTGCGGCAGAAAAGTAAATGGACCATGTGTTAAACTACGGCGCCATGCCTCCCCGGAAGAGAAAGGGTGTTGCTCCCTTCCACCTTTCTACCCCCCCCCCCCCCCGCCACCTCCCCCCGAGCAAGGTGGCCACCACCTCAGAGCTTATAGGAAAGCCAGGTATGAGCTGGCAGTGATGGGGCAACTGCAGTGTCATGGGAAGGGGGACGGTACTGGCTCGTCCTTCATGCCCTACTGAAGTCACGAGTTACCCCCTACAAGCGCCTCTCCAGCACGGCCATGGCTCCAGAGGCAAAAGAACTTAATCCAGAGCGACAGCTTGTGGCAGAACAGTGAATGGACCATGCGTTAAACTACAGTGCCATGCCTCCCCAGGAGGGAAAGGGTGTTGCTCCCTTCTGCCTTTCCCTCCCCCACCTTCCCCCCCAGGAGCAAGGTGGCCATCGCCTCAGAGCTCATAGGAAAGCCATGTATGAGCCGGTGATGATGGGGCAACTGCATTCTCATGGGAAGGAGGGCGGTACTGGCTTGTCCTTCAGGCCCTACTGAGGTCACGAGTTGCCCCCCCTCTGGCACGGCCATGGCACCAGAGGCAAAAGGACTTAATCCAGAGCCCGGCAGTTGCGGCGGAAAAGTGAATGGAGCTCTTCGTCTCCCAAGCTGTGCTGATCTCTCCGCTATCTGCCGGTACTTAAACCCGGGACTTGGATTTCTCCCTGCAAGTCCCCCCAGCGTCCCCTCGGACTCTGGGAGAAAAGCAGCTTTGAGCCTCTGCCTCTTCATCTCCCAAGCTGTGCTTGTCTTCTCGACCACCTCGTCTTTACCCCTCCCACACACACCAGGTTTCTGTGGGGGAGTGGCCTCTTCAGAAGTGGGCGTGGCCCAATTTCCAGCGGGACAATGCTCATGTGACTGCAGTTAGTTTTGCCATACCAAGAAACCAAGTCCCCATACCTACACACCAACATGAAGAAACAACACAAATCCCCAACACATGGGGAGGACAACAAAAAGAATCCAGAAGTCTCTGTAGATACTGCTTACCTCAGGGACCTCTCTGACAAAGAATTCAGATATGAAGTCATGAAGATGTTCAATCAACTCAATGAAACAGCCAAACAGATATCCAGTAATATGACAGAAAAAATAGACAAATTACGGGAAGAAAGAGAGCAGAAATGTCACGAATAAAAGATTCTGTAGATGAAATGAAAAAGTCAGTCTCTGCCCTCACAAGTAGAATGACCGCAGCTGAAGAGAGAATCAGTGAGCTGGAAGATCAGCTGCACCAAGCCAGCAGGCAACAACAAACAGTGGCAAGGGACCTCAAAATAGCTCTACAGAGAATCAGAGTCCTAGGAGATGACTCCAAGAGGAACAACATTAGAATCATTGGACTACCAGAAGCTCAGGAAAACAATCCCAATGATAAAAACACGGTTAAACAAATCATTGCTGAAAAATTTCCAGAGCTCCACAATGCAGCCATTCAGGTTCAAGGAGCCTGAAGGGTGCCAGCTAAAAGAGACCCTAACAAAAACACTCCAAGACATGTCAGTTAGAATGATTGATGCTGCCAATAGAGATACAATACTGCAAGCAGCAAGGTCAAAAATGGAAATCACATACAAAGGAGCACCCCTTAGATTCACAGCAGACCTAGCAGAGGAAACCCTCCAAGCCCGAAGGCAATGGTGGGATATAGTGAAAAAACTCACTGAAATGAATGCTTCACCAAGAATACTCTATCCAGCTAAACTCTCACTCAAAATCGAAGAAACGGTACACTATTTTCTAGATAAACAGCAGCTCAGGAACTTCATAGACTCAAAACCAAACCTAAAACAAGGGCTAAAGGGGCTACTATAAGACAAGACAAACCCTACAAGCACAACAGACCCTTAGAGAAAGATGACACAAAACCCCATACCAATAATCTCTCTCAACGTCAACGGTCTAAATTCACCAATTAAGAGACACTTGATCACTTGATCACTTGACTTCCCGTTAATCATTGATTAGCTCAAGCGGGCGCCAGTAACGTCTCCATTTGACCCTGTTGCGTGCTAGTGTAGCCCAATGGCGTCTGTTTGTTCTAGGAACACGAAGAGCCTCAAACCGATCGTTCATGATCTTGATGAAGAAGTCTGACTATCTGGTAGGTGGGCGGCCATATGTTCTTTTGACGTCCCATGGAATCCAGTCAGTAAATCTCATTACGTGTCCAGCCCATCTGATTTTTGACACCTTGGCAAACAAGACAGTGTCCCTGATACTTGATCATTGATGGGGGTCGGAACTCCAGATTCTTTCTCTCATTTGAGTGAAATGTGATACTCCAAGCATATAGCTCTTTCTATTCCTCTTTGGGAGACTCGAATAGCATTCTCATTCTGTTTGCATAGGGCCCGGGTCTCTGAGGCGCATGTTAATGCAGGGAGAACAGTGGAATCAAAGAGATGTGCCCGAAGCCAGAGGTTCTTCGTCCTCTTAGCTATTTCTTTGACACTCTTGAAGGTGTTCCAAGCTTCTCTCTTCCTCCTGCACAACTCAGGTACCAGTTCATTCATCATGTTGACTTCTCGACCTAGGTACACATAACTGTTGCATTCAGAGATGGTCGTTCCATTGAGAGTGAATGGAGAGTCAGGAACGAGGCTGTTTCTCATAAACATTGTCTTCTTAAGATTCAGCTGTAGTCCAACCTTTCCACACTCACGGTCGAAGTCAGCTAGCATTTGTGCCGCTTGGCTAATGTTTGGTGTTATTAAAACAATGTCATCAGCAAAGCGGAGGTGGTGTAGTTGCCGACCATCTATCTTCACTTCCATTTCTTCCCATTCTAGTCGTCGCATGATGTTCTCGAGGGTGGCACTGAAGAGTTTCGGTGAAATGGTACAACCCTGCCGAACCTCTCTCTTGACATCAATGATTAACTTCTTTGTAGAATGGTGAGATTCTGGTAGTGAATCCATAATACAGCTCATGGAGGATCCTTATGTATTGAGTTTGAATGCCCTGATTGGCTAGGGCTTCAATGACCGCTTCCATCTCAACAGAATCAAAGGCATTTTTTAAATCAATTAAATCAATTAATTTTTAATTAAGAGACAGTGGCAAAATGGATTCAGAGACAGAACCCAACATTCTGCTGCCTACAAGAAACTCATCTCAACAGTCAGAGCAAACACAGACTCAAAGTCAAAGGATGGAAAACAATCCTGCAAGCAAACAGCTCCTTCAAAAAAGCTGGGGTGGCCATACTAGTATTTGACAACATCAGTTTCACG